TTAGTCTCAAAGCCATAAGACTTGTAAAATAAAAAAACAACAAAAAAACAGTGCTTCTCCTCAAAAATTGTTAAGGACTTGAAGATGATTCTCCATTTTAGGATTCTTGTTCCAAGATTGTGGCAAAAATTGTCCAGCATAAAGAGGAATATGCAAGTTTAATCAGTATTTTGCAACAGACTGCAAAGAGATGCCTTTATTGCAAGGAAAATGTTTTGCCCTGGCTTTGGTTGAACACTGCACATGAGACAAGAAGATTTCAGTGCCAATTAAAAGACCCTTTGGCACTTTTAATCACCCACGGGAGGGTAAAATCCACAATCAGTCTTATCAGTGCCATTAAATGAAATTATGCCATCTGCAGATCTATGTAATATATCTCCACAGAAACCACACAGGGCAATGCTCATGATGCTTCCGGGATAATGCGGAGCCAAACCAAAAGTGATGTCTAAAAGAACTAAATATATTTAGATATAGTTTGAGTGGCCCATTGCATGCCCAGCATTGCTTACTCGAATGTGATTTTTAACTATGGTAATATTAAAGACCCTGATGGTGTTCTGCATGTTGTGGAGGGAGAGAGTGACACCATACTATACCACTTTGTCAATCCTACCGAAGTATTGTTAATGACCATGTCCATCTGTTAATGTCCACTGTGTACCCATCTGATGGTTGCTTCCAGTCGGATAACAGGCCATGTCACAAACCTCAATTCATGTTAAACTGGAGTCTTGTCTTGTTTCTTGATGAACTCACTGAACTCAAATGGTGTCCACAATCACCAGATCTCAAACCAACAGAGCAAATTTGGGATGTGGTGAAATGAGATATTTTGTATCACAATGATTTACATCGTCATTTCCAGCAACTGCGTGTGCGATGATATTATGTCAATATAGACCAATGCCTAATGTAGATACAGTCTCTGTGGAGGATATATATCTCTTCCATCAAACACAAGATAGAAAGTTACTGCACGCAGAGCACGATTCAGCTGAGTGGTTTACCACATGTGTCACAGCTCGTTTTTATTTTTACATTTCATAGAGTTTTAAATTTTCATGCAACACAAATGAACAAAGTCACCATAAAGTTAGTACGCCACTATAGATCTATAGATCTATCAGTAACAACAGCTGTTTTGCATACACCTACATCAGTGGGTCAACTGGTTTTAAATGTTATCTGTTCACTGTGCTCATGCAGTGTCCTAGCATCAGGATATGTTCGTGAAGAGAACTAGAGAATGAATTTACCACCAGATTAGAATCTTCTGCGGTAACATATTGATAATGTCAGTTTAAGTCGTTCCACTGAAATCTTACAAATACTTAATCTGGCATGTATATTCTACAGAAGGTGGGGAGGGCTGTTGTCCGTTCTACTTTCTGAAGTAAACATGTTGATCAGAACTGTCACCAGTTCTGCTGATTTTATCTTAAGTCATAACTGGGATGAAGTTTAAAGCACTACAAATAAGAAGCACATTCCTCTGCCAAGTGCAGGTGATGATGTGCAGAGTTGACACTAGTCACTGCCAACAGGAAACTGGAACTTATTCTTGTTGTTCAACATTGGAGGGAGAAGGTACAGGCAATCCCCAGGTGCATGCAAAGTCAAATAACAATGCCCACAGCTTTTTGAGAGGTTATCTTTGAGCCACAGAAGCTTGAGCTGCTTTGGGTGTAAATATGGTGACCATATCTTTACAAATTAAATGTGAGACATAGAGCATGCCTGTAGGACATGATTTTAAGAGTAATGGTTCTGTTTTTTGATATACAACACATGCAGATATACAACTATGCAGATTGTTTCATGCATCAAATAGCATGAGAAGGTCATATATATATATATATATATATATATATATATATATATACATACATACACACACATGTCTATATGTGTGTGTGTTTTGAAGTGTTCCAGTTTCACTGCTAAGTTAACAGAACAAGTAGAAAAAAATGGAAGCTAAAGTTTGTTCTTGTGGTTTTACGTGATAGTCACACATAAGTCTATCACCTGTTTTCAGCATAGTGACAATCAGAGATGGGCAGTAACGCGTTACTGTAATCCGATTACTTTTTTCAAGTAACGAGTACAGTAAGGGATTACTATTGCAAAAAAGGTAATTAGATTACTGTTACTTTCCCATAAGCACACTGCGTTACTGGGTTACTAAAACCGTGATTTTTTTGCGAGCGTCTCATGACAATGACGTAAGCGAGTGCCACGTTCGTGGCGACAGCTGTGTGCAGATCAACGATGGATAATATATCGAGTGCGGGAGAGAATATGACCGTGCAGCGTTTAAAGCGTGGAAATACTGACCTTACTTTGAGTTTGATTCCGTGGGAAGAAAACTTCTCTTTACAGCGAAAAAAACCCTTAACTTCCGAGCAAGCACCGAGTACGCTACTACGTAATGGGAAATTCACAGACAAACTCGCGGATTCTTCCACTGACCGCTGCTGCACACCTGCACCAGGGCAAACATCCGCCTGCTATACAGGTGAAAATAGAGCAACAGGAGTCTTTGATTTTTTTTTAATTTCTGCTGTGTTTCACTTGCATTTATTTAAAAGACTGAGTGTAAACACAAAAAAATATTTTATTTTATGTGCTGGAATGTGCAGAAAATAGGTTTAAATGTTAAACAAATTTCTTCCAGTCAGAGAATGGTGCATATAAATAAAATGTTTTGCTTGATGCATAAAGTTAAAAGATAAAAACTAATAAAACAAGTTTTAAAAAGAGACTTTTCCATTTGATTACATTTTGTATGATGGATTATGCAGAAAAAGTAGAATTGGGCTGAAAGAGCTATTGCTTTATTACCTATTCAGGTTGTAAATTGTGTTTTTAAAAAGTAACTAAGTACTAAGTAATTAATTACTTTTGAAAATAACTAATCAGTAAAGTGACGGAATTACTTTTTGGGGGGAGTAATCAGTAATTAGTTACTGATTACTTTTTCAAGTAACTTGACCAACACTGGTGACAATCTTTGAATATTCACACATTTTTTCTTTTTTTGTGGGCCATATGCATCTTGTGAAGACCGTATGCTCTGTGTCACTTCATATCACATTCTCCCCGATGCTCATCTGGAACATTAACTGCAGGTGATCCATGTTATGATCCATGAAACCTTCCCTGGTTTCTTTGCAGCCACTGGACAAAAGCCATACTTTAGACAACTGTCTAAAGTCAGTATTGACCTATGAGAAAAAGAGGCAATCACATGAAGAGCACTGTCGTAAAGGGAGACAGGAATAAAGATCTGCACGATCCCAGCAGTTTAAGGACACTAATATGAGACCTGAGCTAGTGATCACCATTGAGCTGACAGCAGTCTAGTTAGGAAAGTGAGCACTAATAGGATAGTTAGCCCTGCAGGAGGACACGTCACGAAGTAAGCTGTTGTTGCAATCAGTCCAGATACAAAATCCTAACAGGGCTGTGACAGGCCACGGAGAAATGTCACACTGGGAATGTGGTAGAAGTCATTGTTGGTCATTCCCTTTGACAATGGCAGGCTGCAGGGTCATTATGAGGGGAGAAGAATGAACAGAAAACTCACTACCGATAGCTACTGGCTTCTGACAGGCCTGCAGAGGAGAACATAAAATTTAATTACACTTTAGATTCAATAATAAACATTTGAATATGCTCCTGCATCCCAGCTGCAGGAAACATGCACATGGAGGAAACAATAACACGATTAAGAAACAAAGATGAACTACACCGACAGCAGCAGATGATTTTATGAGCACAAACAACACACTGGCGCTAATGTGATCACTGTACTCCTATTCACTTGGAGCACCGAGCAAGTTTCACAATCTGCAAGTCAAGTTGTAGAACAGATAAGATAAGTGGTGTCAAATTTCCACAAGCTCAGCAGCCAATGACGAAGTTTGTTGGCTGACTACACCTGTATTAATGTGCACACACTCTGGCAGTTTCCATGATAACAAGGATCTTGGAGAGCGAGCAACAACATACCAGCAGAGTATCGAAACAACTGAACAACTCATTTAAATGTAAGTTCACCTCGCAGCCAATATTCTAGATGAGTTTTGCTTTTGCTTATTGAAACTGCACATTTGTTCCCTACATGTTAGCTCCCTGCATACTTTTGTACTGTATGCCTTTTTATTGCAAATAGCTGGGAAACGTAATGAAACTCAAATTGTTGCTATTATTATTTTTAGCATTATTATGGTAAGAAATGCAAACTGCTTATTGGTGTGGTGGCTCTGTTTTTAAAGTACAAGTCAAGCGTATAAAACAAAGCGTTCTCAACGGGACAGCAGTTAATACGATTTCAGTTTCTTTTCTTTTTTTTTAAATATTACTTTACATATATTTTTTTTAATTTCTGTGGGAACTGGTCATTCAAATCTAGACAAATGACTCAAGGGAGGCAACAGAAGCGTAAGCAAAACAGCTACTGCAAGCTAAACCTCAAGAAAACGAAGCACTAGCCTGCTAAAAACAAAAACAACAGGCAGAGTGTAACTTTTCGCACAAGCGACTTTTGAATGTTTGTTAAGTACAGCCGAGCACGATCAAACCAGGTGGCGCCAACTGGTGCGAAAGTACAAAGTGCATTTAAACACATTGAAATATTAGCGATTTTCCTTTAAAAAAAACAAAACAATAAAGCTTATGCAACATACAACTGGACGAGGAAAAGCTTAGATTCAGGCTGCGCTAACAACACACCTGTGCTTGGTGCAGTGGCGCGCGCGAGGCTGTCAATCAGCCGCGCGCGTGTGGTCGTAATCAGTGGCTGAATAACTCCGAGCCAACCACCTGTCTGATCACAAGTGCTGTAAGTGTTTTGTTTTCGCTCCCCTCCCGTTGCAGCTTTTAGTTTCAGTTTAAACAAAACCATCATTACCAAACCGGGGGCAAGTTCTTCTTTGCCACATTACGTTTAACCCCCACTCGTTTTCAGGAAACTCACTTCTTGACAGCTCTGAGGAACAAGAACAAGAGAGGCGAAGGTGCTTTCCGCCAACTAAAACTCCAAGTGTTCAGCTAGTAGTTTAGCTCTAAATGAGTTGACAGTGAATCCCCCTTGTAGGTCAGGGAGACGGAGAGAGAAAAGAAGAAGCTTGCCCTGATCGTGGCCTACACAGCAGAAAAGGGTTTCCTGTTACACAATCGGCCCCCGCGATTTGCTCATCTGATCGGTAGACGTCTGCTGTGAGTCCGTCACTTTAAGGGATACACAAGGATATTATTACAAAAAACCCTCCATATTCCACAGTCGGAGTGTGTGTTTTAAAATGGTCTTTCGCTCGCATTGGTAGGTCACTGGATTTTTAAACGTTTCACAAGGTGCGATTTTTAGTATTCAAATACTACAGGAAATCAGCCAGCTTCACAGTCTCATTATCTTTGCTAAGTTCGTGTAGGTTGTTTTATACCTGTCATTTTTGTTATTATTATTTCTTTTGTTTTTGTTTTTATTTTTTTAGATGTTGATTGAGACATACTTGACTCTTAACAGTAGCTGATCACGCAGTGAGTCAGCATCAGTACTGTAATTTTATCATCAGTTCAAATCGGCAGGCTTCTTCCATAAAGAAACAGGTGCTTTTCAAAAAAAAGAAAGTTTGATTTCTTTTTTCCTTTCTTGGGACACCTCAGCACCCCTTACCTCACTTTCTCTGTGTGCCGCTTTCATGCCAGTGTGAGGGAGTCTGTTTTTTGTCTTAAAAATTAATCTGCAAACAAATAACAGTGTATTTTCCCCACTGTTCTTAATCAGGTTGCTTGTCAGAGGTAGAGCACAGGTATCAAATCGTGATCTTGCAGAAAGTTTTTGCTCACAAAAAAAAAAAAAAGACAGTAAGAGAGAGATTTTGTGTTGCTTGTTTCCTGACAATGCATTTCAGATAGGTTGGAATTTGAAAACCCTCGATGTGACCAGAATAGGTCTTGTGATAGTGTTAACAAAACGGAGAACAACAGCTTTGTCTCCATCAGATAAAAGTAAAGCTGAAGAGTATGTGCCTGGTGTACTGTTTGTCCTTATTCAGGTTGTTGATGCCCTGGTCAGAGCAAAGGTTAAAATGCAGCTGCATTTTTTTTTTTTTTTTTTTTTTTAACATTTTTTTTGTGCAGCTGTGGAATTATACCTGCTCATTCCACTGGGTCCTAACCGGTTTTATGTTTTTGCACACAAACACAGGCAGAAAGGGAGGCCAAATACAGGATATGAGTCTCTAAGACGGCGGAGCCCCACAGCCAGTCACACACTCATATCCTCTTAGTTGTTTTACTCTTAGCTGTACGACCTGATGCTCAAGAAGTCACCCACAGTCTAACACTGTATTGGAAATAGCTGTGTAGTTGTCATACTTGTTGTCTGCCCGTAGTGGATTTCTCACTGGTATGCACGGAACCGACTGAGGTATTGTGAGTTTTGCTTTGTTTGATTCTTTTTCTTTTATCATTACTTTCATTGTCACTTTGTTTGTGGTCCAGTGGGACTGCAGTATGCTATAGAAGGGAGGGGAGAGGAAAAAAGGAACTGCATCACCTTCACTTAGATAAACAGCTGCTGCACCGTTGGCAGAGCTGAGTAAACATTTCAATAAAAATATTTTCAGTCTTCGCCGAACCAGAATAAGCATCCACTTTTGGGAAAATAAATGGCGAAGAATAACGAACAATCTCGGTGCCTTTCCTCTTCCACGCACGCTCTCATATACCAAATTGGTTTAAGCTATAACACATTATCAGAATGATGGTAAAGTTTTGTTGTTGGTTTTTTTTTTGTCCTTTTTCGTTGCAGTTGTGTCCTATCATTCAGTTTTTCTTGTATTTGGTTTCCTGTTAACACTTTACATGGAAGAAATTCTGATATTTTTGCCCACTTTGATTGTTATCGTTCGTATCAGAGCCTTGTCAGGGTGCACAGTGGAACGAGCAGAGGGCTGTTATCTGTGCGAGCAGATAAGAGGTGGTCGCCACTGCAGTTAAGTTTATGCACTTGCACTAAACTTCTGTTTGTGCATCTGTTTCGCTGTTACAGATGAAATTGGATGGGTTGGAAGGAGTCAAAAACATTTGTTCCAAATTAACTCTGGTAAACAAGATTTTTGGTGCTCTTAGGTCTGCTAATGTGGCTAGACAGGTATGATGTTCGGGGTTAATCCTGTCAAACTGCATTAGGGGAACTGAAACAAAACCAAGACATATTCCCCCTGCAGCATCAGCAGCACAGTGTATATGCCTGTCATGCAGCACCACACTGTAGTTTGATGATTTGTTGATTTCTTCATTTATTGTCTACGATCTTTGCCCCTGTAGCCAGACGGCAGCTGGCATATGCACTTTACAAGCTATCCCCTGGTTATTATATGTGGCAAATTGGGTGTCGTGTAAAAGAGCAAATTTAGTTGTAATTCAGATATGCAAGAATATATTACCCAATTTGAAAAAAAAGGGGGTGGGGGGGTGGGGTAAATATTATTCAGGAGCTGTTTTGATAGAGAAGCAGTGGACTGGGATGATAAATATTTCCAAATTGGATCAGCTTATTATTTTGCCCAGTGCGACTCTGAAAAGCAAATTGGATGCACAGAAGGGGATTGTATTTGCAGCTTTTTAGGTTGGCTGCGTTTGGAGATTTTCTTCAGCTGTTTAAGAGGCCTGCACACAGCACACTCCCGCTCAAATCAGTTGTGTGATTAACATCTCTTTTCCAATATAATCAGCCCAAATACTTCATGATGCTGCCCTACATTATAGATATTTGTCTTGCATGAGAGACTACAGTTTTCAACTGGCATAACAGTATTTATAGATGAGATTATACATGGCAGAATTAAGTGTTGGGTAGATCTCTCATTAATCTGTCCAAAACCATATTGCATAAAGAAGTGATGTCTGCTGATCCCGTTTCTTATTGCCCCTGCATCTTATTCACTTTCATTCACCATATTTGGAATTGGTGCTACTAATCAGAGATCATCGTGGACTACTTCCTTAAATTGTGCTAGTGTAGGATATAGTAAGTGACTAAGTGGTGGGGTAGGCGCCCCTTAGTGTTTCATAATCTACACCTTCACAATGCAGGTCACCTCAGTTCTTTCCTCACAGCTAAGGAAATAAGCACACAATGGGAAAGGCTAACAATGAAGGGGCGCCTACTGTGTAACATGTGACACAAAGGTCAGTGGGAGAACTGCAGTCTTTCTGTGTACAGTATTAAACACTGCATGAATGACTATTGGTTCCTGACTGCATGCCAATTTTTGAGTGACTGAACCGCGCCATGAAGGCTACATCCGGGACAATGAGTGGGAGAAAGGTTATTCTCATGGTTTTTCCATTTAAAAATATCTGCATCCACTTTGTGTTGGACACAGCTGGGGCTTTGTTTGGCATGACAAGAACACCTGCGTTTCACATCTACATGGTTTTAAAAGGGAATAGAGATGGCGTTTGTTTTTGGGCCCTCTGCCATGAGGAAGTTCCGACATGGATGTTTTTTTTTTTTTCTCCTCCTCAAAAATAACAACGTACCATACGAAAAAACAAGAACACCATCATGGAAAATGTATTTGTCACTCGGTGTCAATGACCAGATTAAGGTAGAAGGAAATGAAATTAAACTGAGCTCATATTTCTTTCCCCTCCAATTAGGATGACAATAGCAACGTAATGCTTGGCAGGATGCACTAAATAAATAAGAAATACATTTATTAGTTTTGTCACGAGTTTGAAAATGTTGAGCAATGAAACAAACCAACAGAGTGCAATCAACAATGAGTTTATTAAAACACACGCAGGAGAAGAAGTATGCAGCATCACATCAGCACACGTCTCCTGCTAAGAATACACTTGAAAATGATTTTATAACATCAGGGTTCACGCCCCTTCTTGCGTAAATTACAGATCAAATACACAGATTACAGTAAATGGTACACCTTAGATGGCTAAAAACAGACACAGAAGTTCCTCTTTCTATAACACCAATAAATTTCAAGCCTAGCTACTAAGTTACTAAGCAAACTGAAATGCAGTTAGAAGCTAAATGAATTTCGGGCCTTTGGCCTGGCAGGCTTCTGGATTATATGTGTGTTGTAAGCGTGTATGCTGTTTATCCTTCTATGCTCCAAGTCACCTACACAATAGATTGTGAAGACATAGCGCTTCACAAAGCTTAAAACCTTCTTTAATAGATTGAGCATCAACACTGAATGAGCACAAACATGCAATGTGTATAAAATAATTATAGCTGCACCTGTAATAAAAAGGTTAACGTGGTGGCAATAGCTTTAATAAACATCTTTAATGCAATATCAAGGCTGTGGGATATATTATTAATGCAATATTATATTGTAGCAGTAAAATAATTTTCTGTATCTCCACAGTTTCCTTTTTGTTTTGTCAGTGAACCTCTTCCTGGACACCTTTCTTGCTCAATCTTGTTTTCTTGCCTTGGTCCAAAGGCTTTGCGTGCGGGTTGGAAAATGTTGAATAGGCACTTGTTGCTAGCTGAGTGTGTCAGAATCGTTAGAACGTTGGGTTTTTTTGTTTGTTTTTTTTCTTCCTTCTGTTGGGTATCATGGGGGGGGGGGGACGGACGCCTGTTGACACCACCCATCTAGGATTACAATCTAGTTATGCACGCATGCCTTTAAAACTTGTTAAAGTAGCGCAAGAACTGCCTTCCTCAAAATTTGTAGTTTTCCACTGACTAGCAGCACTCAGAATGCCAGGCAAGACCCCAGTAATAGACAGCGCTTCAGCTTTCAATCTCACTCAGTCTCTAAACCAAAAAACACCAAGATTTCACACATATCAGTGACTGAATATTAATAGCAGATATTTTTAACTTCGTGTCCTTTTTTTTCTTTTCCCCTGCAGCATTTGAAGATGATGCGATTGCTGTTTCTATGTCTGCTGCTACTTCTGCCAGCTTCTGCTGCTGGTAAGTTCTCATATCTTTGACTCTTTCAGGTGATAAGCATCTAATCAGGGTCTATGCATCCCGGTGCCAGCTCCTGTTTTCCTCAACTACCTGCATATCTGTATGTGTCTGTGTCATTCTCAACAAGGTTAATGCGTGCAGTCACTGTTGATTTTCTTTTTTCTTTCTGCCTATTGGACACACTTGAACAATAATAAGTAATAAAAACATGCACGGTGAAGTTTATAGCAGCAAGCCCATGGCTGTGCTTTCTCTGACATGGAAGATGTCATATATGAACAAGTGACAGGAGACTCTGTGACGTACATGAAGTACAAGTATGCAGTTAAACCGACTGAGTCTTCATCTGCGTGCTACACTCTGAATGCCTCCTTTGATATCACCAATAACTGTTTTGAATAATAAAATGTTTGAAAATGTGTATCTCACTGTTTCAGCTCTGCGAGCATTTCGTAACTCTTCAGAACTTGAAGGATCAGCTGATGGTATGTAAGCCATATTTTGTCCAGTAGTACTTTTACTGCATCGCATATGGAACAAATAGTTTTTTGCAGCCTGTCACTTTAGGAATCAGTCTGACACATTAATTCATTTTACTTAGAATTAAGCGCTCGGATCAGCAGGCCGACCACACCCGTGCATGACGGTGAATGGCCTATTAATGTGTTTTGAGAAGAATTACTAGGCTTAAATATTCTGAAGTCATTTAGCTGCTTCAACGTGTTTTACATGTGCTGTCGTTGTCGCATAAGTGTTGATCCTTGTTTTGACTCCGGGTAAGCGTAGTCAGAGGGAACAACTGATTTATTGATTTATTTATTTATTCATTCCCCCCTTGTAAAATAGAAATATGATATGAAATAGAATATCATTAAAAACATGATATAGCTGTATAAATCAGCCCCGTGTGTAATGGTGGGTTCTAATTTTCCATATCTATCTCCACTCCTTGTAATTGTTGTATGGTGGCTACCACTTAAAGCGCTTCTTCCTCATTTAGAGTTTTATTATTTGCTCACAGTTGAAGTTGTTTTTAAGGCCGCGTTGTTCTTGTTTGCAGTCTTATTATTGTTTAGTGTTCTCATAAGGTTATCTTCCCTGTGTACAATATTGATTCTTGTTTATGGTTTTCATTTTTTCCTCTCGGACCTCTTGGCCTCAAACTGATTTTATATTCCCACCCCTTATCACCACCACCTCCACCACAACCACGATCAATAGTGTTGCTAAAAGATTCAAAGTGTTGTCTGTATCCTCACTGTTGTACAATTTAAGAACTCTTACACTGTTAATATAAGAAGGCGATCATAGTGAGAACCTGCATTTCTGCACTGACTGAACAGACGTCTCATTTTTCCCTCTTTTTTTTTTCCCGCAGACTCGGATGACGAGGATTTTGCGGAAAGTGGTGAGTTTGTTACCCTACTCTGTGTAGTCTCTTATTTCATATACATGCACTATACTGACAGCTGCACAGAACCCGGTATATGAAGGTTATGGCCTCTGTTATTGTCAGAAAGTCTGTATAGTATATAGGTTGTTCTACTCCACTAAGCTGTGGCCCCAGTTGGCTTTTAGCTCCCCTCAACCATTACGGCCTGAATAGAATCAATTAGCTCTGTAGAGGGGGCCCTGTGGATTGTGCTGAAAGGCCAATGAACACGTCAACATCTCCGTCATCCTGTCGGTCAGCTAATCAACACTGGCATTCTCATTCTCTCACCATCCGCTTTTCCGTCACTCCTCATCTTCGCTTTGATAGACATTTGATAGACTTACAGATCTGTTTACAACGGCCTGCCTGCCAAGTGGAGAAGCAGCATTTCTGAAAATGGCTACAATTCTTTTTGAAGCCCCAAGCACTCTCTTATCCTCTCCTTGTAGACACGCGTACATAGGCTTAAATCTTTTGTTCATTTCCTTTAAAGTGCATTTAAATTTCTCAAGCAGCACACGAGTCAAAATGTGCAGATAAATTAGGGAACTTTCATTTGTGAAGGAAAGTGTGTGTGTATGTGTGCGCGCGTGTGTGGACATTTTGACATTTCTCTTTGTAACTTTCCAAAAGCTTCAACCAATTTGAACCTAAATGCTGGGCCAGGCAAAACCACTGGTGTGGAGGGCAACAGTGGTAAGAAGTATCTGAATTGTAATTATTTATATATAGTAATGTATGAAAATGATTTTAAATGTCAACATTTGCAAGTGATTCATAATGTCAATGTGCTGATTCCTTTTTTTTTTTTTTGTTGGTCTTTCAGATGAGGGCTACATGATTATCATAGTTATAGCGGGGGTGGTGTTGGCTCTTTCGGTCGCAGCAGTTGTCAGTAAGTACTCTACGTTTCCTTGAAATAAAGCCTTTTGCATTTCCACAGGTGACAAATATATTCCTTTAAAGCCCTCCGGTGCTTGGCTGGAGTCAGCATGGTTTCTGTGTGCTTTGTGAAGCTTTTAATTCTTAAACAAATGTGAACTTTTCTCTTGTGGAGCGTTGACCTTATTTGTTGTCTTTCTTTTTTTTTTTTTTCTTCGTTTACTTGCAGCCATATTGATAGTGAAGCGCAAGATGCAGCAGCAGGAGCAGGGGTAAGAATTAGACCATTTTCTGACTATTTTCTTTGCATCTTTTATGTACTTCAGTGCTCAAGAAAAACACTGTATGCATATTCTCCTTATGTCCGTTGTGCATACTGTGGCAGCGTTTTTAAAAATTCATGTTTTTCTTTACGCTAAGTCGGCCTCCGAGTAACAAAACCAGTCGGGTGGGTAACAGCTTTTCTGGCTCCCTTGCCAATTTGTCCCATTTAATCCAACTCGTCAGCTTGAAAACTAGAGAAAAAACAAAATTGTAAGCTGCATCCACCCATTTGAGCCTGTCTGGACTTGCACAGCAATTAGTAACACAGTCTGAGTCCTACGCCACCACCAGTGAACACACCGCACCTTACCTTTTTAGCAATCAAACAATAACCTTAAGGCAGGGCCCCTGGGTCTATATGACCGAATGGGACAGGACTTAACCTGTTCAAAAGCTTACCTCATGAGCTGAGGCCTAAGTAGACACCTCTAGTCAGAAATAACGCAACAGGGTAAACATGAGACTGACTCAATGACAACAGTTGGCCAACGACAATCAGACAGCAGAACAGCCTAAACCAGTTAAACTGAGAGACTCTCTCTGTTGTTGTTGTTTAGGGGTTGTTGTTTTTTTTGTCCTCCTCTGTTGGAGAACATTTCGCAGTGTAATCAATTTCTTTCGTCCTGGAGGTGTTATGTAACGTGATGTGCAGGTTGGGTCAGAGGGGTCATGGAGGTCAAATCGGGCTTCAAAGATCTTTAAAGCAGCAGCGAACAGCTGTCGCAGAGCGGATCCCCAAGTCGATGTGCAAGGGTTAAATTCCTCTGCAGGATTACTGGCTGCCTCCTGGGGCTGCAGTCAGCTCTGGCAGTGTTTGGTGCTGACTGATCGCTCTGTTGAAAAGAGGCTTAATCACACAGCAACCTCTGGCTTGTTGGATCAACAGTGCCTTGCCAGGTTTATAAGTCCCACCTGGGGATGAGCTGTGTTCTGAGGTGATGCAGTCACTGTGCACCTGTCAAAGCCCTGTAGCACTCAGCAGACATGCCGTTTCCTGAACTCCGCCACACAGAGACGCTTCTTGTGCATCTCCAGACGTTTTCTAAAAATACCTTTAAAGGTGACATTTTGCTTTTAACCTGCTTCACCTCACCCCCTCCTGTGGTCTCTTCTCTCTCTCTCTTCCCCTGTCTCTCCTCAGGATCTACTCTGTGCCAATAGAACAGGACCACAAAGGGTCCGTCTAGTTCCTGGTCTACAGCTACAAGCCCTATAACACACAGGCAAGAGAGGTCGATGCATCAGAAAATGTTATCTCCTACTCTTTGACTCAGGACAGCTAGACTTCTTGGAACAACAGCCTGTTTCTGAATGTTCAGTTCATTCCTCCCTCCCACATAACCTCCTATACATGTGTAGCATATGCAGTATGTTTTTTGTTTGTTTGTTTTTTGTATACTTTTGTGTTTGTCCCAGTCATTTGTTCTGTACATACACATAATTTAGCCTGGGACTTTTGGAACACAGTCAAACCTTCTAATTGGATTCTATTTGAGGAATCCAAATCAAAGCCAGTGAATGTGGCTTAAAGCTCCTTTTGTTGAAAGGGATAATTTAGCACAGCCAGAACTCCCTGATTTTTTTTTCCCCCCTTTAATTCCTGACACAAGAAATTATTCCCAACGACTATGCAGTGTAACTCTGAGAGACCCGTCTATGTGAAATGGTCGTTGAGTGAGACAAACCACACTAATCCAGCCTAAGCCGGCCTCACGTTCATTCCTATTCACTTGTGTCACATTTTCTCTTCCTGGCCCATTAGGAATGACAGGAGGCAACAAAATAGGAAGATAAAAACCCGTTCACTGTCTTCTTAACTTCCAGTTACAAGAGGACAGTGGGGGGGAAAACCCCTGAAACAAGTGGAAATGGCTAGTGCTAAAACCTTCCTGCACTGCCACAAATTAATCAACCACCATGAATGATGATGTTTTCCAATCCCCTCTTCTTGAAAGGCTTTCACTTTAGATTGTAAATAGCTCTCTGAATGCTGTGGAGAGTTAGATTAATGCCTCCCACACTGTTACAGAGAACCTCGTTATGAGGGAGGGAAGGATAAAATCTCAAGAATTAAATAAAGTAGGATGATTGGGGAAAATGCCAACAATGCCTTTGTTTCATTCATACAGAACACACAGTTTTCTCTGGTTTTATGCAAATCAACCTTTTCGTGCTGTGTGCAGGAACCCTTTCTATCCAAGAATCTAAGGTGCCGGCTTCCCTGGTTGTTTGTCGGCAAAAGGGAATCTGTTTTCCTTGTCAGCTTTCT